CTAAATGCTAGTATCTCAGAAGTGCTCAATAAAAAGAACAATATTTATTGGAAAGGTTTTTTCTACATTATTTATTTAAATTACATTGTTCATAGTAATCTGATAAATGTCTTGCTTCTCATAGATGTTCCTGTACAAACATATTTTGAGAAGCACTTCTACGTTGGATTGGTATTTTGGTTTGAATGACAAATTCACAGAAGGCGTGTATTTATTCCGTGATGGTACTGCATTGAATCGCAACGTATTTAATAGATTTGCGTATCAGAAGCCAGACGAAGATACGGCTACTCATGATTGCATAGGTATATGGATATTCAGTTATTTCTATCGATTTATCTAACCGTTTAACCGTCCACCCGTCCATATATCTGGCCGACCATCATGCTTTCGTTTGTTCACTGATTTCTGATTCTCGTACACAGTATTAGATGCGGGCGAAAATTACTTATGGGATGACGCATCATGTAGTGTTCTTAGACCTTACATATGTGAAACAGGTAAGTCCCTCACTGTCTTATTATTGTCTGTACTAATTGACTAGCAAGTATGATTCCATGGACACAATTTTAATCAATTCACATTTAAGATATGATTTATTTCTTTTTTATGCAAAGATACTTCACCACAATCGATATGCTCACCCGGTAAGTGTATATTTCAAGTAATCATATGTGCTTGTTTTTTGATGCTTATGTTTTATTGTATTTATAAATTGTAAAGCTAATGCTCCCGTAATTCTGCAATGTGTTGTTTATTGCTATTCACATTCCCGTTCTACAGGATTATTTTAATTGTTTCAATATATTTTTTTTATCGCAGAATGGCACGAATACAACGGGCATTGCTATTTACTAAACGATAAAGGGACAAATAACACGGATTCAGTTAAGGCATGTACGTACGAGTAAGTATTTATTTATTTATTTATTTATTTATTTATTTATTTATTTATTTATTTATTTATTTATTTATTTATTTATTTATTTATTTATTTATTTATTTATTTATTTATTTATTTATTTATTTATTTATTTATTTATTTATTTATTTATTTATTTATTTATTTATTTATTTATTTTCTGGATTCTTTGTCAGTTCGTTTGTTCATTTCATGACTACAACATCAATTCTCTTATTTTAACAATTTAGTTTTGTTTAAGGGGTCAAGTGACCTCATTAATGCAAAATTGTAATTTTAATATATTTAATTTTTACATTAAATTTGCTGCACCGGTGGCTTTTACAAACAAAACAATTTTTGCTGCAAGATATTTGTAAGGTCAAAAAATAATTAAAATTAATAATAAATATAGCAATTATAAAAAAATTATTTAACAAAATTTAGCCAACCAGAATCATATTTTAATCAGATTGCGTTAGTCGGGACTCACTTAGGAACCGAACGGCTCGTGCCGAAATCACGCCCTCGTTCGTCGGTCTGTTATTTGTAGCACTGCAAGAAGAACGCAGTTGCAGCAGCACATACGCGTCGCCGACAACGTTCTGTATTACTACAGCACCCGACAATTAGGGCAATATTTAACTGCACTTCTCTCCATCGTCATGTCTTACTTACTATATGAAATAGTACATGTTCTCTTTCAATTCACCACCAAGGGCGTGATTTCGGTTCGTGCCGAGCATTCAGACAACCAATCTCGGCACGTGCCGGGTTTCGATCCCGACTCTCTATTGGGACCGAGATCGGAGATCGCCCGGGAAAGTACCAACATTATGTTTTAGCTACGAATAACCTTTGAATAATTAAATTGTTTACAGTGGCAAAGAACATCTACTAAAACTGGATAGTGTGGACGAATTAAATTTTATTACGGCTACATACCCTGTGACCCATGTATGGCTCGGTAAGGTCATTCATTCATTCATTCATTCACTCATTCACTCACTCACTCATTCATTCATTCATTCATTCGTTCGACTATACTTTACCGTTTACTCATACCATCACAATAATAGCGATCTGAAATATGGAGTATGTAATTATTAGATAATACATCCGTCTAAATAACTGATTCAGCGGCAATAATACTCACCTAGTATTCACCCTACATTTAATAAAATTCTTTTCTTATTTATTGTTAGGTATGCAATATTACCCAGATGAAGATGTCTATAAATGGTTTGATGGCAGTGATTTAGATGCAACGTTAGATATTTGGGATATCGGTGAACCCGATAATGACGTCACTCAGATCTGTACTTTCATTCATAAAACTACTGGCTTAGTACGCGATCAAGCGTGCAGTACAAGTTATATCAAAACTGTTTGCGAAATGATTCCATTGTAACCAAGATCGACCGAAATCCAGACCAAGACAGTAGTGTTAAACGTAACAGAATTTACGAAAAATGCCTCGGTGAATTAATTTGTTTTACTATTGACTGTGCACGTGACATTACCTAATCTATTTTCTTTTACGTGATTTCGTGGAAAATATTTTTTGTTTCATCAGCAAGTAGTATTTTTTTTTCAAAACTGTGAACCTGGAATAGGTGTCTGCTATAAGACCACGTCTCTCTAGATTGTGCCATGATCTGTAATAAATTACTACCTTATCTGTATACAACGCGCATCTCTTGTTTCAAACAAGTAATTACATTCCCATAATGTCTACAGTTTAAAAGAAATATATAAAGTTTGAACATTCAGAGAATGTCAGAATATGGCTCCAAAACTGCATTCACAAAAACAATATGGCGAAGATTCTAATCTGACAAACAAAATGACGTGCGTAAAGTTCAATTTACAAAATCTGTCTAAGAATGACCGAGATCAAGATCCGAATTTTCAGAAATGCTTGCTTATGATGAATTTGTAACATTAAAACAACCGCAATTCGGCTATCAAATAAAGTATGTACATTTTCGACATATGGTGTCTATGTGAAGTTAGCTCGGAAAAGAAATTTGTTAAAATCCGATCTGAATCAACAGAACATTATAGTTTATCTTTCTGGTAGAATGAATAAAGAAACAACAACACATTATAGTTTATGTTTCTGTTAAAATGACTAAAGAATCAACAGCACATTATAGTTTATGTTTCTGTTAAAATGACTAAAGAATCAACAGCACATTATAGTTTATGTTTCTGTTAAAATGACTAAAGAATCAACAGCACATTATAGTTTATGTTTCTGTTAAAATGACTAAAGAATCAACAGCACATTATAGATTATGTTTCTGGTAAAATGGCTAACGAATCAACAGCACATTCTAGTTTATGTTTCTGGTAAAATGACTAAAGAATCAACAGCACATTATAGTTTATGTTCCTGGTAAAATGACTAAAGAATCAACAGCACATTATAGTTTATGTTTCTGGTAAAATGACTAAAGAATCAACAGCACATTATAGTTTATGTTTCTGTTAAAATGACTAAAGAATCAACAGCACATTATAGTTTATGTTTCTGTTAAAATGACTAAAGAATCAACAGCACATTATAGTTTATGTTTCTGTTAAAATGACTAAAGAATCAACAGCACATTATAGTTTATGTTTCTGTTAAAATGACTAAAGAATCAACAGCACATTATAGATTATGTTTCTGGTAAAATGGCTAAAGAATCAACAGCACATTCTAGTTTATGTTTCTGGTAAAATGACTAAAGAAACAACAACACATCCAGTTAGTGTTTCTGGTGGTAAAATGACTAAAGAATCAACAGCACATTCTAGTTTATGTTTCTGGTAAAATTACTAAAGAATCAACAACACATTATAGTTTATGTTTCTGGTAGAATGACTAATGAATCAACAGCACATTATAGTTTATGTTTCTGGTAAAATGACTAAAGAATCAACAGCACATTATAGTTTATGTTTCTGGTAGAATGACTAATGAATCAACAGCACATTATAGTTTATGTTTCTGGTAAAATGACTAAAGAATCAACAACACATTATAGTTTATGTTTCTGGTAAAATTACTAAAGAAACAACAACACATCCAGTAAGTGTTTCTGGTGGTAACATGACTAAAGAATCAACAGCACATTATAGTTTATGTTTCTGGTAGAATGAATAAAGAAACAACAACACATCCAGTTAGTGTTTCTGGTGGTAAAATGACTAAAGAATCAACAGCACATTATAGTTTATGTTTCAGGTAGAATGAATAAAAAAACAACAACACATCCAGTTAGTGTTTCTGGTGGTAAAATGACTAAAGAATCAACAGCACATTATAGTTTATGTTTGAGGTAGAATGAATAAAGAATCAACAGCACATTATAGTTTATGTTTCTGGTAGAATGAATAGAAAGAAACAACACCACATTCAGTTAGTGTTTCTAGTAAAATGACTAAAGAATCAACAGCACATTCTAGTTTATGTTTCTGGTAGAATGAATAAAGAAACAACAACACATCCAATTTGTGTTTCTGGCAAAATGACTAAGGAATCAACAGCACATTATATATTATGTTTCTGGTAGAATGAATAAAGAAACAACAGCACATTATAGTTTATGTTTATGGTAAAATGACTAAAGAATCAACAGCACATTCTAGTTTATGTTTCTTGTAAAATTACTAAAGAATCAACAGCACATTCTAGTTTATGTTTATGGTAAAATTAATAAAGAATCAACAGCACATTATAGTTTATGTTTCTGGTAAAATGAATAAAGAAACAACAACACACCCAGTTATTGTTTCTGGTGGTAAAATGACTAAAGAATCAACAGCACATTCTAATTTATGTTTCTGGTAGAATGAATAAAGAATCAACAGCACATTATAGTTTATGTTTCTGGTAGAATGAATAAAGAATCAACAGCACATTATAGTTTATGTTTCTGGTAAAATTACTAAAGAATCAACAGCACATTATAGTTTATGTTTCTGGTAGAATGACTAAAGAATCAATAGCACTTTATAGTTTATGTTTCTGGTAAAATGACTAAAGAATCAACAGCACATTATAGTTTATGTTTCTGGTAGAATGACTAATGAATCAACAGCACATTATAGTTTATGTTTCTGGTAAAATTACTAAAGAAACAACAACACACCCAGTTAGTGTTTCTGGTGGTAAAATGACTAAAGAATCAACAGCACATTATAGTTTATGTTTCTGGTAGAATGACTAATGAATCAACAGCACATTATAGTTTATGTTTCTGGTAAAATGAATAAAGAAACAAGAACACATCCAGTTAGTGTTTCTGGTGGTAAAATGACTAAAGAATCAACAGCACATTATAGTTTATGTTTCTGGTAGAATGACTAAC